CCAAATTAAATGGAAACAGCTCAACGTTGAACAGCAGTAAAAGGGGAAGCTTGAGGGTGAACACTTCATTCAGACCCTTTATCTCGTCTCCTGCTGCAGGAGTGTTTCTGTGTGTTTCAGGCCTTTTAACTGAAAGTTAAAAACATTTTCTTCCACCGTCAAACAGTTTTTTCTCGTCCTGAGTTCCTGCCAATGAACTGATTAAATAAAGAAACGTGCCTTCAGTGTTGGATGTTTCTATGACGATGCGTTCAGGGGTACGAGCCTCTTGATCCGCTGAAGCCCGTACTGCTGGTTCTGTGATGTTTGCATGTAAAGTTATTCAGCGTCTGGTGTTAATGGACCCAAACAGGAACCACTGACAGTCCTGGTTCTGGTGTCTTCTTGTCATTTTCCGGCTGTGATTTGACTTCTTGCTTTGTTTGAGGCTGTTTGAATGCGTCTCTCCTGCTGCCTTCAGCCTGAGCGGATCGGGGAACGGCATGTTCTGGTTCTGCATGCAGCTGCTCTGCTGGGTTTGTTCTGTGTCGGTTGGTTCCGGCTCCAGTCCGTCTCTGTAACCGCCTCCGTCCTTCTGTGTCCTCCTCAGCCCACAGCGTGATCTCCGAGGAGAAGGGTCAGTGCTACCGGGTCCTGGGTTCTGGTCTGGGTCCGTCGTCCTGCTCGCTGCCCATCCTCAGGAACATCACCAAGCAGATCTGCTGCTGCAGCCGGGTCGGCAAAGCCTGGGGACCCGACTGCCAGAGGTGTCCGTACTTTGGTTCAGGTCGGTTTCCTCTAAAGATGGACCTTATTTAACGTAATAAAAGCAATAAACTGTCAGAACATGAAGTTAACGATGCTTGAAACAGGATGATTTATCTGTAAAGTGTCTCTGAAGTAAGGAGTTTGGTTGGAGGAGGTCGGGGCGAATGGACGGGTCAACAGAACTCTGGACTTTAGCAGGAGGTGACCCGGTTCAGAAGCTGTGAAGACTCAGCCGTGGGTGGAGTCACTCAGAGCTCTGTGGAACCTTCAGTCCACCATTACATTAACTCTGGGTTTATGTTTCCAGTGGATCCGACCAACCGACCGGTTTCAGTCGGTGTTCTCTGGTTGTTGACCTGCCGCCTGTAGCTCCTGTTTCAGATCCGTGTTTGGTTGCTTCCTCACTCAGTGGCCTTTAAGGAGATCTGCCCAGCCGGTCCCGGGTATCATTACTCGGCCTCGGCCGTGCAGTTCAACCAGAGAGTCACCGAGCAGCTGGGCAGCCGAGGAGCTTCGCTGGTAACCCACGGCAACCAGGACAACCGGGACAACAAGGAGAACCAGGAGAACCAGGGTACCGCGTCAGTTCCTTGTCACAGCTGATGGATTGATTGTGCTGCAGATCGCCTCAAAGTCCTGCTGATTGTTCCTCCAGGTCCTGGTTCTGGGTCCAGTGGCAGCGGTGGAGCCTTCAGGACTCAACAGAAACCTTCCTCCTCTGGTGGAGCGAGTACCTCCGGCGCTGCATCAACTGGTACCAGAACCAGTCCAGCTCAGCCTCAGCCTCGACCCCTACCTCAACCCCTACCTCGACCTCAGCCTCAGCCTCAGCCTCAGCCTCATCTTCAGTCCCGCCCGGCCGCTGGTTCCCCCTCCAGACCCGCCCAGCCCGGCAGCACCACGGTCACCCAGGTCCGACCCGGAGCCCAGCAGAACCAACCTGACTCTGCCCCGTCATCACCAACACAACTGAGACCTCAGCCTCCGTCCGCCGGGACTCAAGGTACCGCCGACATTTGAGACCAACAAGACGATCCGATTCACCGTCTGCGTCAGAACCGATGTGGACCAGATGTGTTTGTGTGTCTCAGCAGGCGGTCGGCCGTCATCCGGGTCCCGACCCGATCAGCCAACAACCCGAGGAGACTCCCTTCCCGCCCCGGGCCAGCCGAGGAGCCCCGATCGTGGGTCGAGACCCGGCGGAGAGCTCCTTCCGCAGCAGAACCGACCAGCTGTGAGTCCAACGACCCGACCGGCCAGAGTCCAGAGTGAGTACCAGCAGAACATTTATCGTCTGGATTAAAAGCTACGTCTGAATATTAATAACATATCCGATAAAACTGTCAATATCATGACAGAAAAAATGTTCCTAAAATACAAAAAACTTTTCGTAACTTATTGGGAAAAAAGTCAAACAATAACTGAAACATAATCGTAGCAAATCAGAAAAATATCAGAAAAAATATTCGTAGCATTTCTGAAAGAATATCAGTAAAATATCACAGAAATACTCGTTAAAGCAAATCAGAAAAAT